ACCAGAAAAGATGTGGACGGATATACTCGAAGTCGTGATCGGGTCGTCGATTGATACTATAGGTAGTCGATGCTAGTGACTCTGGCAACGCAATCCAAAGGGTAGATACGGGTATAAGATAATACTTAGCTGCGGTCGACAAGGTTGGCAGGAGTGCCAACAGTAATCCTCAAAAGAATCTCTCTAAAGACTCTGAATGCAATCGATCGTTTGACGCATGCACACGTTAGCTACGGATAAGGCTCTCGCGCTCGCCTTATACTGTCTATTCCGCACAGGCAGGGCCGCACAGGCGGACGACAACAAAAAGGTAGCTGACAATGGCCGAACGGAGTCGATTTACATATAGCGAACAATCGATACAGTGCAGCTAACAGACTGGCCAACAGGAGTGGGCAGATCCTCCTACCACAAGTTTTGGGTGACCGTCACCCAAGACTGGACGCGTCACCCGGTGACGCGAAGTTCGTAGGTGGAGCCACCATAACTCAACGGGGTCACCATAACAGTTCCTTGTTACTGTATTCGAAGCGATGAAGCTCCTCTCCTTTGTTCCGCTCATAGCCGCATCGACCTCCACAAACGTCTATGACAGCAAGACTATCGTATCGGTCACCTCCGCCGATGCTTTCGTCGACGTTCGGGATATCCCAAAGCGTCTCGAAGATGCCAAGGTCGCGCTCAAGCCTGGAATGGCCGCCTTCCTGAAGACGGCAACTATCAAGACTTTGAAGTCCTCGGGCTTGCAGGTGGTTGCTACTTCCGAGGACACAGTGAGCTTCGACGATCTTTGTGACTACTTGGAGGAGGCGGCCTCCAAACTCTCCGGTCTGGACTGTGAATGCTCTCCTAATTTCGCCATCAAGGAAGAGGACACTAGTGACGATCTCGGCGTGAATGATCCGAATGCTTCGTCGCAAAGGGCATTCAAGCGGATGAACATGCAAGACGTATGGAGACTATCTGCGTCCTACGCGAGGCGAACCGTCGACGTGGCTGTTATGGATAACGGCCTCAACTTCAGCGATCCTGAGATCGCTCCTTATCGCGGCGTTTTCCGTAAGAAGAGCGGTGGATCCATCGATGGTGGCTGGAACTTCTTGACTAACTCCTCGAACTTGACATCGACTCGTCAGCATGGTCAGGCGTGTGCCAGAATCATCGCGGCTAGGAAGAACAATAGCAACGATATGGCCGGAATGACGTCCAACGTACGTTTGTTGTCTTTAAAAACCCAGGGAGATGATGGTACTGGTAGCTGGGAGCATATAGCTGAAGCCATGGATATGGCCGTCGATATTGGAGTCGATGTCGTATCAATCTCTCTGGGAACATTCATACCAAAGAGCTACGGCGAGATGGTGCTGGGCAAGGCCTTCAAAGCAGCAATTGACCAAAATATCATTGTCGTCGCCTCCTCTGGTAACAATGGACTGCGAGCTGACACACACTATCCATGCCCGCTGCCAGGCGTGATCTGTGTGGGTGCTCTCATGGATCAGGACACTCTAGAAATGGCTGATTTCAGCAACTACGGTAATTCCGTCGATATCGCTGCTTACGGCACGGATATCTATGTCGGTAACAACAAACGCTATTCGGGTACGTCCCTTGCCTGTCCTATTGTTTCTGGAGCAGCTGCGATCTTGCTTTCTATGGGCGTTAAGCCAAAGTACGTTGCTGGGATACTCACCCATAACGTTGATCGGTTCAATAGCTCTTCGAGGCCTATGAGGAAGCATGCCGGAGCTCTGAACCCGCTAAAAGCTGTCAATATGGCGATCGATTATCCCATTTTGAGACGCTAAACGCCTCGAGCTGCTCACATTTGACTTCATACTCGATAGGGAATTCTATCGCATAGTGGTCACTTATCGCTCTGCCTTTTATCCAACTCTTAAGCCCAGCTTTACTGGCAACTCAAAGAATGTTGCCGAAGGCATTTAATCCGAGATATAAACAACGGATCTGTTTGGTATTATCCAACGAGTTTGTTATTGCGTTCTCTAGTTCAACAAGAGGACGAATACCGGATGATACTATCACGGTGATAGTATCACCGGGTATTGATAGACCATCAATACCGTGGTAGTCTAATCGCAACGCGGTCATCACATGTAATCTATATTCATACTGGCCGGAAGACAACTGTATTGCTTTTCCGTTGCCGACATTGATACCAGTTGATTGGAAGAGTCTAGAAAATTCTAGGAGAATCTAGGAAGCTTAAGTTCCACAATTCTTAGGCGCCGCTGCAAGCCTCGCTACAATAGGGTAGTCACACAGACAGTCAGTGACCGAGCCCTTCGACGTCGTGACGAAGGATCGAGCAGTAAGGGGCGAGAAGATATCGCAAAGCACTGTTCCTGCTTCAGTTCACTAGCTCCGGGCGTGCGCTACGAGTCAGTTCAATCCTATTCCTACATAAGACAGTCTGTCCGTCGTTGACCTTTCTCGACGACTACTGTAAACTTATTTTTAGGAAACACAACTCGTAGCATAATTGGTGAGCCTCTCATGATGATACTACACGAATTTATGACTCCTATAATCTCTGTGGACCACTTCCCATCGCTACCTCACTGTGCCGACAAGGCGTATCAATTCTGTATTAAGCACATCTTACCCCCTAGTCGTTGTCCTAAGTACATGGAAAGCAATTCTCCCTATGCACGATCACAAAGTACCAGACACTGTAATACAGTGTCTGTAACAGTGACTGTATACAGAGAACAGGAAACACTCCCTTGTGAATAGTATCACCACAACATATTCACGATGATAGCGTTCATGGCAAATTGTCACCAGTCACTGGCCATCTGGCAGCAAGTGGTGGTCGTATTGCCGGAGTTAATCCATTAACAGACGTAAAATGCGTCTCAGTGGAGCCCCACAATTACGGGGAGTGCGAGGCACTCCTTTGGCATAACCATCCTGTCCCCCTGGTCTTTGAGACGCTATGAACAAGAGTGAGTACGTCATGACTGAGTACATCAACCTAGAATCTAAGATGTGAAGTCATTCTGTCTTTGTCTACTACACTTTTCACTATACATGTATTGGTTGTAGGCACGGTTCGTTTCCACTCAACTGAGTGACTGAAAACTCAACCCTGCTCTAAACTAAGTGACTGTTGTGTTTACTACGCCAGGCGAAACGGTGCGAGAATTTTACCCGCCTACTCCGCGCGCGCCACCATTTTCTCACTCTGGCCACTTTTTTCCCCTGCGCGCCACTTTTTTCTCCTACGCGCCACTTTTTTCTCCTGCGCGCCACTTTTTCCTCCTGTTCGTCTCTTCGCCTGTCTCCACGAAGACAACCCGCGAGGTTGTATTCGGGACTCCGACGAGTCTTGCGGACTCCGAATAGGCGGGGTGCTAGGTGCCGGATACGCTGGGGTGATACTGGGTTGGGGTTGACTAAGGATCCCGAGAGGTTGTATCCGGGACTCAGGCGAGATATCGAAGACTCGCTTGAGGCAACCTTTGAGAGAGCCGGTGCATCTACAACGAAGAAATAATTGCTGAAATTAACGGTGATATAAACGCTGGCCCAGGAACTCACCGATTTCTGGTGACAATTCGAACATACATCTGTTGGCCAACTCCGATAAACCTAAAAAGCACTCAACTATGGTTACCCTACCACTCACACTACTTCGTTTGATCGAACGCTCCCTATCCAGGTTCACACCACCGGATATCGAAGACTCGTTTGGGACAACCCTTGAGAGAGCCGGTCTATCTACAAGAAAGAGCTAATTGATGAAATTAACCGTGGTACCAATCTAACCAATTAAATCGATAGAAGCAATTCGATATCCGTAGCCACTGAGTACTACCCAGTGAGGACTCCCCACCGGATTTCTCCATCTCTTCTTCCGCTTGGTGTTCCGCTTCCTCGCTCATACTTCGATACTCTTCTCGAAGTGGGTCTAAAAGAGGCAGATATGCTTAGCCTATCATGCTCTTCTCCTGCTTGTAGTTCCAGGTTGGAATTGAGTCCAACCTGTTAGTTAATGTTGTGATTTTCAAGCGTTAGTTACAGACAGCTGAATTCCATGGCATGCGAGAACCCAGGCAGAATGATTTAATCCAATTGCAGAGGAAGTGGCAATGGTATTGATCATCTGAGTCCGATCCACTCGAAGCTGCATCATCCTCGGTGATATCGAACAGTATCGTAGAGTCGCTCAAGTCAACAAAATATGCATCAGTTGGAAGTCGCGTTGCTCCATTTGGTAAGAGCGGAATACTTCCTCGCGCTGGCGGATAGAACTCTCCGAGTAGTTCAGCGCGACGCTTCGAGGCTCGTTCGTTTATATCCAAGGCCTTCGGTTGTACGTAACTAGATAAACAGCTGCATATACTCAAGAGTTCGAATCGGATTCTCAGATGGAGAGTTCGTCCTACTTCGAAGCGCCTTGACAACTTCCAGGGATCCAGAACTGGGGTGTATGGTCCATACAGTAGGTTTTCCATCATACTGAGCCCTATTGAATGGCGGCAGTATAGCTGTTCGAGCCCGTCGGGGCAGCTGCATTTGAGAACTTCTTCTTCCCTAATGACTATTCGAATATACTTGCTTGCTTGCACGTAAGTATCAAAGGTTGGCCAGGAACCAGAATCAAAGCTCCGCATGAGGTCCACCATTGCGGCTTGAAGACCACTGCCTTCACCAACGAGACGAATAAGGCCGGCGGAAGGGACTATGTACCGGTTTCGACCCGCGTGATCGTCGAAGTAGATGATATTCAATCCTTCCCTTTGCACCCAAGAAGCCCAACGGAAGCCTCGTAAGAGCTGGTCTTCCGACGGCTGGTGGCTCTCTTTCTTGGAGAAGTCGCCCTTCAAGGTGAACTGCTTGACCACGTTGAAGATCTCTCCGATCAACGCGGAGAGCGTGAACGTTGAACAAGTACCGCCAGAGGAAGCGAGGAAGCTACGGGCTACTCCAAACCCCTCATAAGGAATCCTGGACTCAGAATCCATCATCGCTTACCGTTTTTGATTGAGTTTAACTCAATCAAAAACTGCCTTGAGGCAACCAATAACTCAATGAGTTATTGGTTGCCTCAAGGCAGTTTGTATTCCTGCCTATGGACCGCTCTACTAGATCTTCATGAGCCATCTCTGGTACCAGCAGCACCGTCTATGTATCCACGACTTCAAAAAGTAGCGTGCTACTGGGCTGCTTATATCTTCCCATTTTGTAGCCCATAGTCTTGCAAGTATGGGAAAGTACTCCATACTTGGAGCAAGTCCATACTTGGAGCAGTCTTGGGAAAGTACTCCATGCCAGCACGAAAATATCACATTTGAGTGAAGTGCGCATTCGAATCAGCTCATCCTTAGAGCAAAATTTGGACTTCAAAATTGGAGTCACTACCTTCAGGCATTGGCGCCATACATGTACCACGCAGTACAGTCTGCAAAACTTACTATCCCGCTTCTGTAGCTGGAAATTGGCATCTAGTTCTGCCGATCGAAGCTCACCGAAGGTGTTGCAAGCCGCTTGTTGTGGAGCAGCTGGCACTATCGGCCAATACGCCTGCGAGAGGTAGTATGATATCCAGCTTAGTAGACCAGGCTTGGATACTCTTAAGTGTATCTTCAACGACCATGGTGTCTTCTCTTAACGTCACCGTTGCGGTTAACGGTACGAATTTACTGGGCGGGCGTACACACCCAACCAAAAGTAAAATCATTGGCGTGTAACCAATGTTATGAGTGAAGTCCCCAATCGCTAAGGACAAACCCTCGGCTTGTCTCAGCAAACTGACTGACGAAAACGTGGCGAAGAAGACATGCTGGGGCTTATCCATTTCTGCTGCATCCGATCCGGCCTCTGAATCAGATTCGACATCGTCTCTGGCTTGAAAGACGTCATATTCTACGGACGTATCGGGGAAATCACAGCGATACGATAAGCAAAAAACCTCCGACTCGCATTCGGGCAAGATGCTGTCCTTCTCGAGGAATGCGCGAATTGATGCGATATCCGAGCGCTCCGGTCTAGGCCGATCATCTTTCGCAACCAATTGCTTCCCACGGTATCTCGCGTTGTAAACCGATTTTTCCATTGCTCGTAGTCGATGTCAGGAGTCATCTTGATAAGTTTCTTCTCCAGAAGTCGCTCCACAGTTGCCCTCGCGGAACCACCGGTGACAGCAATATCAGTGACTCAGGTCCTTGGCAACAGCGGATAGCATGGGTTTCCGAGGATGAGCTACCGAGGACACGGGCTTCCTCACATGTGGTTGATGGATCGGCGACCGTAGCACCGTAAAATCCCCTACCACACTATGGATTCTGATGGCCATAGTGAATGCACATGAGTGCCACTCTTTACGTTTTGAAAATCCGCACCGGAACCGTTTGACAATCTTCCCGGCTTTCGGACGAATACCGGAGCCGTAGGTGTTGTTTAGAATCATAGTCCCCCCAGCCAGCACATGAACTTGCTCTTGCGCAGCTTGTAGTGTTGGGAAGATTTGTGGGCTCGCTAGCACATAATTGCAGGAGGAACCCCTGCCTTGCCCTGCACTCGTAGCAGTGACACCTGTGCCTTGTCTGAACCCGTATCAGTGAAGCCAGAGCTTGTCCAGCACCAGAAGCAGCGAGGCCCGTGCCTTGTCCCACACCCAGAGCAGTCAAGCGTGCGCTTTGCACCGTACCCGTGGCCGTGAAGCATGTGCTCTGTCCTGCACCCTTTTCAGTAGATGTCGTCCTCAGAAAAGCGATAGCAGCCTGTAGGAGTGCAGGATCCATGGCAATCGATCCTATGTCAGAGGGAACCAATGCACACGCCTGAATCCTAAACAAAGTTGAAACAAACGAACATCAACTTTAATTGACAAAACAATACGATATTCATTTAGAGATAATCCTCATTACATGTACTGGGTTAGTAATAGGGATATCACCGTATCACCTACAGTATTGTATTTCCCTGAAAGTGATATAATTTTCACACTGATACAAGTTACTTGTACTACTTGTAACAAGTAGTTAACAGATAATATACAGAAAGCTAATGAGTAAAGTGTTGGTGAGTGTATCGGTATACTACTCTATACGGTACATTACTATAGAGTGGCAGGTGCTACTATGAGGACTGGGTGATTATAGATAATAAACAGAACGATCATGCTCAACTTCGTAAGAATTATTTTTTCAATGGACAATCCGCTTCCTGCTTCATATTCGTCTCACATGGCAAGAAATAGTGTTTGGCTTTAGTCGCTACTGCTTTTTCAATGCCCCGACGCCTAATGGAATTCAGAATAGTGGTGCACAAAGAAGTGGCCCGACGAGTAAAATGGTTGCGCGCGCGAGAAATTCGGTGGTGCGGTGAGAAATTTGGTTGCGCGCGCTGAGAAAATGCCGAATTTTACTACCTTGATACTCTATGATCAACTTTTCGAGCCACTCTTGTAGTATGACCAGGGGTATTCCAGTAATGCCCCTGGTCATACTACATTACGGTAAGGCTCCTACCCCAGAGGTAATACTATTGCCTCTGGAGTAGGAGCACTGCCGATACACCGGCACATCAGTGGCTATTCGAGATACTCGTATAAGTACTCCAACTACCCCACCACGTTCCTGCTTTTACGACAATCTCCTCACGAGCTTGCCAGAAACGCTTCGGCAGACTATCAAATACAAGGAGATTCATGACAGGGAGATCCGAGTCGAGCAATACACCTCCACACTTCTCCTATGCTGGTTTCCAGCTCTTCTACCAGAGAGAGCCCACAGGAGCTACACCAGGGCCAAGTTCAATAGAGTGCCAACACAGGATAATGTAACAGGATTATAACCTGCTGATTCAATACTATTGAATTAATAGGAAAGAGGCTAGGGACGACCGCCTCCCCACGCGACAGTGCTTCACTTGACACAACATCACCAGCTGAGTGGAGACGGCAGCATGAAGATTTGCAACATCAAGATCTTCTTAGAGTTGCTGTCAGTTTTGAGGATATCGCTAACAGAATGGCACCATAATACAATTTGAACTGCAGCAAACTCACCCATTTTCATACGCCTCGCCAAGATAAGGAAAGACGCGAAATCAGCATCTCCATCATTATCTCCAATAGCCGACTCTAGCCCATCACCAAAGACCTGTCACCATCAGTGTCACCACACATGAACAGCACAAGATGTCCAGCCTGACCAAAGACGTAGCCCTACCTCTCTCGAGAAGTCATCCCGGTCCGCTCCTTCTGTGCACTCATGCTCATTCTCAGTGACATCGGCGAATGACCTACACACAACCTCAATCAATCATCGTTGCGAAGGTCAAAATTGAAAACAGCCTCGCCGCCCAAGCTACGCTATGATATCTTTCAGTAAAAGCCTAAGCTCAGTGAGGTTAACACGACCAGTGTGCTCATGATCACAGTCCTCGAAAGCCTCCCGGTACTTTACTATCTCAGCCTCCGAGAACGGCAGCAGGGGACGGACCTGAGCAACATCATAACTGTATTAAACCGCGTGGTTGAGTCGTACCTCACTGAGGCGATGTTGTTCTCTCGTCAATCGCCACACCTCCGCCTTGAACAGATCGTAACGAACAACTCTGGCGCTGTTGGTATCGGCGCACAGCTTCTCAAGGATAGCCACAAAGCGAGCTCTCGATAACGCTGGCCCGCCAGGTGGGAAGCCAAGCTTCGTGAACGCCTATCGTGAGAGACAAATTGCCTCTAGGAAAACATGGCAACTCCTATACCACCTCTTCGACACTTCGAGCGAGAATGGTCAGTTCTACACTCCCGGAGTGCCCAGCCCTGAGGCTAGATCTCTCATGTCTTCTCTGCTCTACCATGTGTGACTCCTTCATGAGGGTATCGTCAATCGCCGAGCCGACCTCAGACGGAACTGGTGCCGCGGCTGTCTAACACCAACCTCGTTGTGATACTATCCAGAGGGCTTCGAAGTTCTACTAATCGAAATCACTCTATAGACTGACCTTCTATCTCAACTGAGACGACCGAGAAGCTGGTCCAGCCCGTCCTCAACTTACACGAGCTCTCGAACCTTGTCGACTCCATTTTTTTTCAACTTCTGCTGTCTCGGATTCCTCATCACTGTGTGATATCAACTTCATATAACTCTTACTGCGTGATGAGAGTACCCCTCTCCGTCTCGACCCTGGAATATATAAATGCCCGCACCACTGAGGAAATCATCAGCACTACGCCGTCGACTCTCCTTCTCGTTCTTCGTGACTTTGCAGTATCTACCATAACCCCACGCTGGAAACACTCTGACTATCGCGACAGGCGGCACTTCTCCCAAATTTTGCGCAGCCCCTCAGCGTCTATCTCCATGTCGACCTCCTCTCTCCTCTTGCGTTCGCTCAAAGACACAGTCTCTTCCCTCAGCACAATAGCCTTGCCACGACCAACTACCCAGCTGATATGCTTCATTGAGTCCGCAAACCTGATGAAGCCATCCCTAACATGGTGTACGACAGTCCGATCGTCGAACCTTGTGAGCTCATCAGAGCCGACCTCTTCATCGCTCGGTCGGATTATCCTCATGTCGACACTGATGAACACTCGCGGAAGTTGCTCCTCGCCGAGGCCCACAAGAATAAAAGGTCGACCATCACCCACTGTGGGGTTCGGCGGCCTCAAAACCATCGACTGAATTGACCCCTCGGGAAGATCCTTCTGAGCATCCTTACCAAAGCCACAGTAGGAACCTCTTCTCTCTTCAATCGCTCTAATAGATCCTCCAGCCCCAGACCACACTCAGCTCTCATGGCCGTTGACTCCTGGTCTTCCCCTACCCCTACCGCAATTCGCAGCCGTGGGTCGACATCAACGACGTGGGGCGGCTTTGAACGCACTATAGTCCTGTGGACAGCAGCTCTCTTGACACCGTATGTGTATGGACTACATAACAAGACCTTCCTCCATCTTGAAATCATTCCATTCCTCGCAATCCCCACATATCGATTGCCTCCATTCGCCCAACGTGGTCTTCGCCTCAACGACCGAGAGCCAGACCAAAGCCTCTCCTGTGTGACACATTTGTTCGAGCCAATCGGCGGCATTTCTAATTCCATGCACTCGGAACCGCAGCAAAATCACGACCTGATAAGGCATACTGCACTTCCCCCTAAGAGGTCCTCACAGCTCCTTCGCCGTCCCAGTATGCATTAGGCGATTCCACCGTCCGAGGCGTGCTCGGGACGGCATCAGGAGACCGTGGACTTTCAATCAGACATTCCCTCCTCCCCATTGTGAACATCTCCAGCCATACCTTGGGTAGGGGCGAGGCGACGCCAGGATACGCCCAGTCCCTGCAAGGGGGGTCTTCTCGAGAGCCGGCCTCGGACTGCTCACTCCGGGATCCACAGACCCGCTGTCACAGACTCAACTGGTCTAACCTTGAGTCGACCGAGATCGTTCCACTCAGAGGAGCATTCGATAGTGGTAGGCTTGGGTGTGTCCATACAAATCCACCCTCTCAACACGGGAGGAAGGACGATAGTGTCGGAAGTCGGCTCGGGGGATCACCACACCATCGCTTCCGACGGTTCGGAGCTGCTGCCGAATGCCTCTTCGTCGTGTCGACGGCTCAGCTAGCTAGAGAGATCTACAACCGGCAAACATCCCTAAGGAACAGGTTCTATTCCCAGTGCCGGCACTTTCTACCAATGTCGCAGACAGCTATTCGTTGTTCTTGCCTTATCGGAAGACTCTTAGCTCCATCCTCTGTAGAGGAGGAAGGTCCTCCGTAGGTCAAGCTGAGAGCTGCCTGGCGATGGGCTGACTCAACCCAAACCGCATAAACAGGCACTCACTTGCATAACGCCTGTCGCCTTAGCCCATCGTTCAATCGTTGTGGGATCGTCGGCCAACAACCAGAAGAGCCTCAAAGCGTGAATCTGACGGTCCTTGGCTGGGCGGAGGCGGTCAGCTGCCCACCTCCACCACCGTCCCATCATCTCCCCTTATCGGCGCTCGTAACTCGTATTCTGTGCCCATGAGGCAGAAGCGGACCACCACACCCTGAGAGCCCAGCGCCATGGCTACAAGACAGGTCCAACGTCTATCACCGTTGGTGTCACCAATGGTGTCACCGCTGCCAAAGAGAGCCTAAGCAAACCGTTACAGAGGACGCCCGTAGGCAGATCCCTCACTCAGCCACTTCAGAGATGTACAACAAGATTCGCCATCTCGTTTTTATGTGGACCTCCTCCTGTTCGACCATATCCTTCCTAACATCAACTGACCGGGACAGAATAGAGGGAGGGATAGACTCACAACTCTAGTCGTTGTCGGTGGGAATCCTCGTCCAGCGTTGAGGCAGGTAAGAGATCAACAGCGCTAGCTCCTGTCAACCTCATCGTAGGATTATCGCTGACTGGTGACAGTATATTCGAATATCCCAATGATGCAAAGAAGGATATATCTCCATCGGATTTTGGCGATGGACCTGAACCACCAACTGCTGGGCCGCCTCTAAATATCGTTCCACCTCCCAAGACCGAGGCGAACAGTTTGAGGACCTCAACCAGCTCCTCCAGCGCCAGATGTAGTCGATAGCATTGGGTGCACGTCTGAATGAGTTTATACCGGTCCCCCGCGATACCCGCTCTCAGTGGGGACATTCCGGGCAGCAGGAAATGGAATGAGGCAGGGCAAGGTGTAAGCTGCTGTAGATTCCGACCAGACCGTCGCAATGCATTTGATGCCACTCGGAACCTGTCGAGTGTGCCCAGATGGTGGGGTGCCCCGACTTACGGTAAGGATGGGAACTCTCCTCCACACACGCCACATCTATACAGCTGGCGGACTTCAATGAGCGAGGACGATCGAGTAGGCTCGGAAGGATGCGATAGATGGTCCCATCTGAAAGTCATGGTCTCGTCTTGCGGCAACGTCTCGCCTTGCTCCTACTCGTCCTCAGAAAGCCCATTGACGATAGAGCCCGTCTCGGAGGCAGCCTCCGCCTCATTCCACAGAGTCCCCAGCTGACGAGGGCTCGGTGAGGGCTCCCGTCGACCGGTGACTCCCTCGAGAGCGTCGATCCGGAGGAGCCAATAGATAGCATCTCCCCGAGAACTGCTGGTAGAAGCCAACCGGCGAGCGAAGGAAAGGGTCATCATAGTGACTCGTAGTCCTCTAACCTGGTACGGCAGCGAATGTTAGTGTCCACACCATCGGCTTGCCTGCAGGAGCCACTCAGTCAGTGCTCTGGTAGAGGCTTCCACCTCCTTCGGGCATCTAGACATGATAGCGTCATCGGCCGCCCCTGAACCAGCCTCATAGGAAGCTTCCTCACCATCGATTTACCTTCGCTTCGCCATTCCGCTTTGATTCTGCCAAAGTCATTAGAGGAGGAAGACCCCGTGGTGTAGGTAACACACAGGGTCGTCGCTGACGATCTCCCGCGCACATCCAGCGTTTTCTGGATGACCTTGGGAAGGACTAGGATAGTAGCACTCCAACCCTGTTTGCATCACCCGCGGCCCTCCATCTTTCCGATTCACTTCATTTGTCAACTCGACGGACGTCAACGGTGACACGACGGTCTTCCCAGGAACCGCGTCGTGAAGTTGCACACAGCATAGGGCGTCCGACTTCGAGCTCGCACTTTTAAATCGGGCCAACACCTACGATCGAGCTCTTTCGTTTGTCCGAATATTCAATCATATACGTCCTTGTCCGTAAACCTCCGTGTGGCTTTGAGACGCCCAGTCCGGTCCGTGAATAGCCATGCTGTACTCTGCTGGAAAGGCGGGTCGGCCTTCTCCTCTTCTAGTGAGCACTCCGGGAGGTCGATGCCGAGGATGACCGTATCGGGTAACCACAGCGAGAGGGGGAAGTCAGGTCGGCGAGGCCCTGGTGACCTGCTGGTCGCCGCCCTTGGGAAAAACGGGCAGCCGACCTCAGCTGGTGTTGACCTACCGGTGCTCGGCGAGGAGGAGGGGTTTGACAAGCAGTTGGAACACTTCGACTGCCGACTCGTAACGCCTCCTATTCTCAGTACCCACTTGTGCCGCTGTATTTCGCATTTCCACTAGAATCGAATGAAACTCAGGACGGGTCCATCGCACAGTCGCACGCATCTGCAGTTGCCCAACAGAACCAGCGATTCTATCAACGGAGTTCCGAAGAGAATAACCTCAAGATTCGCGACTGCCTCGGGAGTGACGCCCTGACGGGTTTACTTTACGAAAATTTTTCGGGTCAAATTTCCCACCAAGGTGGTAGTACTAGTAGGAACTTGCAGCATCCCTACGGCTCGCAAGACCTAAACAATTGCATATTATTCGATCTAAGCGATAGTTTGGCAAGTATATGAAATTTTGTTGGAGAGAAAAGACCAACCTCCGGGATTTTTCAGTCTGCGTGACCAGGTGGGGGACACCCGTAGGCCTGGCGTCGCACCTCCGTCACGGAGGCTCCCTGCTTTCGCTTCCCAAAACTCAGTTTTTCGATCTCATCCAGTAATTCCTCTCTCCGATAGAAAGCGAGATACTCATGTGCATATTTAATGTGTTTGCGAATCAGATCGATGGTAAGTTCTCGAGTATCCTGGCCTCCCTCCACCCTGTCTCTCCTGCGATGACTCAGAAGTATCGGAGACCTTCGGGATCTTCCCTGCATTTCCTTTCCATTTTCCTCGTTTACATCCCCCTGAAGACATTCTTCTTTCCTCTTCTCTTTCCCTTCTCCCCGCTAGCTTGCGAGTTGGAGAGTATGCGGTTACGGTGGCTGCGAGCCAAGATAGTCATGGGGATGGCATCGCCATCATGGCGATATCGTGATTAATAGTCCACTAGAGGTCGAGCGAGTTCCCGTCGAATCGCTGCCTGTAGAATCGACGTTCACGAATGTGTCTTTCAAGGAAGGATGGAGACGGGAGCCAACTACAGTTGACGAGCGTTCGAGCTTGGTAGGCGAATTAAGGGAGGGGGATTATCCCCCGGGGTCCCCGGGCCGGGGATAACCTCAGACCAGGCTCATCCATGCAGGCATATCATTCTCCCAAACATCCATTGGATGCAGCAGCTCACAGTCATATCTCGACGATACTCCCGAGACTGAATGGCAGGTTATTATATGCGTAGCTTCCTTTCGGAGGGAAGTGTCCCAAGTGTGGGTCTTCCTGTATAAGCAATGTGAAGGAATTAACTCCACCCAAAGCTGTGCTAGGACTTGACTCCGAGCAAGGATGGCCTGCCCGATTGATATCTACCCGACGTCAATGTCGAGAGGTGTCATGTAGGCATGCCGCATGCGTCATGTACGCTGAACTGTGATTATATCAAGACGCTGCCAGATGCGGTATTCGGGAGAATCTTATCAACCACGGTGGTCGGGAAACAGGTTGCGGTGGGGGATGGGGGCTATTCGAAGGCTACGCAACGCGTCATATATAGCCCGTGAGGCGGAGCTATTACGTGGAGAAAAGTATACTGCTTTTCATCGACGCCGGTTACTTTTGAGCGTCGCAAAGCAATACTATGCACCTGGTACTCTGTTGCACAGTTTATCTAAGCATGCTCAACATCTCTGTACATTGGACGCCAGTGGGGCCGTTCGTCAACCGGAGCAAACCATCAGTGAAGCCATTCTACGAAATGCCTTCCTGAGAGACTTCCTGAGAGACTCTTTGCGCCGTCTGTCCTTATGTCGTGAACTCAATTCGGATCGTATCAAGTTCTATGTGAGTATCGATTTTGCTCGTCGCATTGCGAAACGTTCAACCACTAATTAGAGTGGCTATATCGCCACACTATCCGCTATAGACTATAGCCAAAGAGAATATTCAAAGTTACACTATAGCCCATGGGGTAACTTTGAATATTCTCTGTACACCAAACACTTCCTTGGAATCTCTCTTCCCCGCCTTACGGCAACTACATGGTCGTCTCCCAGTCTTGGGAGTTCTGGGAGTCCCAGAAGATGGGAAGCTAACGGTATATATTGATAATTTAGGTTGTGGGACTGCTGAAGCCGACGCTGCCGCTGCTGCCATCAAGGATGCTACACAAGCACAAGCTATCATATTAAAACTGGACTGTCTACATGGGGTATTCAGACTTCTCCGGTGTACAGATATCAATCATGGAAGGCACGCGTCGTTTGCCCAAAGCTTAGCAGCAGCCTTCTTCTGTGAGTGTCCTGAGGATGTTGCTACCCTCGGGGCCAGGAGAGCACAAGAGGGGTCACTGACGGAGCCTACAACTCAGGAGAAACACTTGTGTGTCCGTCGGAGGGTGCCGGAGCCAGAACTTCTCAGCCAACGGGTGGCTGCTATGGTGCTAACATACTGGCAGTTCTGAGGATGCCAACTAGGGGATCAAGAGGGGATGGCTTGTACTAATGAGTCACAGAGGGATCCTTCCAACGGCACCCCCAACATTGGTAGCGTGGGCAGTCCCCTTTTCCGGGATTCCCAAAAACTTTTGGCGTAACTACCAATCACTTCAGATGCATATACCCCGATCATGTTTCAGTGATGAGGAAGGCTCGTTGCCTATCGTGAAGGCTATTGATGGTACTCTTTTACATCCTCGTGGAACGAACCACAATGAGGCGAAGCGTTCTTCGCTTCGTCGAGATTTCGCATACGTAAGTCGTGCATCTTGTGTCGTATTCGATGCACGCTGTGTATGGAGGCGTATTTACTCCATTCGTCGTCTTTTCTCTCGGGCTTGTGACAATACTCAATGCTTTCTAGCTAATATCCCTATACCTATGGTATTGGATGAGGCTAGAGGTAGACTACATTTAGATACAGTCTGTGATGGCATAAAACTCAGTGACGAGCCGGGTATCACCCCAGACTGCTCGACGCCAATAGGTAGGTCAATCGGTTCTATCCGCAGTATTTGGAACATGCTAGAATACTATATAAATCTATAGGTGCGATGAAATAAACGACAAAAGCACGCGGAGAAGGTACGAAAAGGGAGGGAGGCCAAGCACGAAAGATAAGCGGTAAATATGTGTAACTCGTTGGTGGTTTCATTGCATTTGTAGGTTGAGAGTTCTATGGAAGATGCTGTTCAGAAGGAGTGATATAAAGTGTGTTATACAGGTGGCCAAAAGTAGTGACAAAATCTCAGCTCCATGTGGACTATGATGTCAGGCTCTTTCATCAAGTGTAGCTGTACTTTCAGCAACTCATCTGTAACTCCATCATCGCACTGTAATGCATCCAAAAAAATGCAGTGTTGCGTTGGTCAATGCTTTCCTTCCCTCTCCTTACTTTTTTTCTTTCCTCTTTCTATTTTTTTTCTTCCTCTTCCTTTTTTCTTTCCTTTTTTGTCCCTCCCCCCCCCTGTCTTCTCGATTTCCCCTCCCCCTCAGCTCCTGGTCTAGTGGTAGAATAGAGCGTTGCGACGCGAGTTCGTCGCTCGAATGATGCAGTTTTACTTCATCATCTATTTCTCTGATTAGTGAATCACTCTCCATATCAAGCGGACGAATTATCAACCAAATATGGAATTCCCTTGTACCCCAAGCATTGATCAGAACACACGACCACGTTCATCCCCAGCACGCTAGAAACGTATATCGACATCGACCACACTTGTCGCCGTTCCAAATATGCGACAGATGTGAAAGGGATAAACACTACCAACCTCAGAATCGAGTGTTCTTCTGCTCACCGATGCCGTTAGCCTCCGCATAAGCCTCGCATGCCGCCGACAGCTGCGCCTGACAGGATCAAAGATTTTTAGGAGAGATCCCTCACAATCACGATACGATTACAGCTGTCCTCTGAGGCGGTACAGCACCCAATAGCCTCTCTGCGCCCCTCACGTAACGGGACTTAGCCGAGTCACCTCCAGTCATTGCATACCCTCCAGCTTGAGAAACTGTCAACTCCGCTCCGCCTGGACGATTGCACTCTCTGAATCCAGTAAATGCGAAAACATGCGGGTGCATATACAAGAATGGAATATCACTACCTCATTTTGATGAACTGCTTAGCACAGCCGTCTTGGGTAGGAGACTTGGCACACTGCATGAGATCAATGCCCTCCTGGATGCAATAGTTGATGCCGAGACTAACACAAACAAGCGGAAGCCCTCCTGCGAAACACTAGACGTCCCGATTCTGTCGATACCTCTCCCCGCATTGTCTCAAGGCCTGTTCTTGCTTGGTGCATCTCGAAGGGTTCCCGTTACACTTGGCCATACAAGCATTATACTCAGCATGGATCAGCTTGCACTTCTGAGCTTCTGACACGCCGGAGTTATTGGAGACACTCGAAGCAGCAGTCATTCGATAATTAGAAGAAAAATCGGCTAACAATAACGAAACAACAAAAGCGCTGCGGCGACCACTGATACCGCAATTTTCGCAAAACCCAACTCGTCATTTTGTAGATCTCACAAACTGTGGATAAAAACGAATGCGACATATGATCAGCAGTCACTTGCTGGTGAGGGACGGTTCAAGTTTCCTACAGATGAGGTAGCGAACCGAAAAACACACCACGGTGAGAGAAACTGCTCTTCCACCGGGAATAGTGGTCTGTGATATGGTATAACTTATACCGTATAACAAAAAAAATAAGAAGGCTTGAGAAAATTCTGAGTGGTGATTTTGTCGTTCGCCCTCATATCTCAGGAGCGGTTCCGAATGTTACAGTTTCGGTCAAGAATATAATAGCTAATCACTATATCTATGCTCTGTTAAAGCTTCAGCTCAAAACTCTTATTCGTCAACGAGAAACACAGATTTTTCAGATTTGCCTAAGAAAAAAATACGCTCCTTACATATAAAATACCTTCCCCAGGGATAGAACCTGCACCATCTTCCTGACAGCTGCAACTCCATATTGAACAACGAGCGCCCCCTATTGAGTACTAGGACCAATGACAGATTGATCATCAATCATTAATGTCTAAAGCAGTCAAGAATAAGTGCTATTGCGAATCCTATCGCGATGATAGCCTATCGTTGATAGGATTCCCACCCATCCTGTCGGTCACTACCCCAATGTTTATCAAAAACAACCCCACAGTATTGATACTCAGCAACTGCAGCAACTGAATATCATCACGAATATCATCTTGCATCAAATGACCCCACAAGCGTCACCTGCATGAATAGAAAGATCCTTCTCGGTGGCCGCCGTCGAGTTAGTGTCGCTTCATCCGCCCTCCTATCGCTCTCTCGAATATTCAATGTGGGGCTCCTTCTCAGGACTGTCTACAGTCAATGAGTCTCGAGCCTCCCCATCGCACTCCCTCGTCCTGTCTTCGTCATCGAGGGCCACAAAGGGCACCGGCTTGGGCACCTCTTGGCCTTCCTGCTGAGGGAGGTCCTCCTCCTCGTCCTCCTCATCGCCTCCCGGCAAGAGATCCTCATTGGCTGTCTCCGCCAGAGCCATGAGCACCCCAGTGGCCCAGCATCACCACTACTACTACCTCACACATCTTACACGTCCATGATCGACTTTCCATCGCCAACTGCCGACGAGTCTCCCCAGGCCAATCCAACGCCCCGATGGCTCCTTCTCCTGTATAGTGCAAGTCTTAACGTGGATGGGACTGAAGATTCACCAGGGGTCGGCATGAAGCTTCTGAGAGCTTCCATCAGTGCGGATACCCAACGCGGGCTGCCACCGCCTTTGCCCTGTATGAGAGCTTACCATAAAGACCCGCGGTCCGAACGGATATTTGCTTGGCGGAACGATTCGGCCATGATATGGTCCACCCTGAAAAACAGTCCCCGGCAGCCCACATATAATGCCACTCGAAAACGCTATTGGCAGCTACAGAGGAGGTTCGTTAGAGGTCTACAACGGGTGGTCAGTACATGGAGAGGCGATCCAGTTGGTGCTCGGGTTGCGCTGTATTTCTAGGATCTCCGTTTGAGTCCATCGAGTTGTCTGACTCGACGCGTTCACGTGGGAACTACTACTACTGTTGCTATCGTTAGTCGGGGTGCGATAACAGTAAAATCAACCTCAACGATGAGGACGTGAAGGAAAACATGAACTTTGAGATTTGTCACGCGCCACGAAATTACTTGGACAACTGAGCAAGATCACGCACGCAAGTAATGGTCGTCGTCCTAGAGGCTTGGGGTGCACCTTCTATGGTGGCTGGATGCCCTCACATGCCTTCGTTGGCAGGCAGGCTCCAGTCACTGGGTGAACATGGGTACTCGCTCGTTAGTCTGCTCTATTCGAGTTGAGCAGCAGCAGCCGATGACGTCTTCACGATTTGGTTCTAGTGCCGTATAGTCGAAAAGCCCTTGCCTAGTGTTGCACCTGAAATACTAGAAGAGCCGCTCTAGAATGAGCTCGTATGGGAGAGTGAGAACGTCGTCCCAACTCGCGGGAGAAGTGTTGTTGGAATATATGTTCGCTTTCCTCAGCTGAGCTCAGGAGTTTCCTATAGAAGTTAACATACGAATTCGGGTAGAAGTGTACAGAAACCAATAAGAATTTTCCCAAAATTTCCTCAGAATTTTCACATTTTCACCAACACGTGTAGTTGACCATGTACATATTTTCCCACACTGCTTCCAAATCGCTCAGCGACTTCTCCACTATCCGACATGACTTTCCATCGCCCCCCAACTGCCTCCCAGCCCCCTACCGCAGAAGTCGCCGATCTCGCCAGGTGAGCACCACCTCGTATACGGGGCCCGAACTCCCACTCAGGATTACTTCTATGTCGTCGCTCATGTCGAATGCCGTGGCTAGGGCCACTGGGAGGAGGCCCAGAAGGACTCTGGTGACGCGTTGAGACCATCTTGTCGTGATGCCTGATTTCAGCTGCTCTCTCCCTCAATCACTCGAGCGGACATCCCCTGGCCTGCCAGGACAGACTGGGGCGGGCACGATCCTGCCACACCCTTCGCAGAGCTTATGATCAACACACATTCAATGTTCTGGCCGGTAGCTATTTTCATATACGTCTCGGCTATGTGAGTTGATCTCTTGTTAGACCAGCCGCCGTATTGGTTCATTATCAGATACATGGTGAAAAAGTAATAGGAGGTAATATTGAACAGATCGTACAGAGGCTGGCGGTCCCATTGGAGGGAGCGCCTCCTCATGAGCAATACTCAGCTCGCTACTGCTGGATTACCTTCGAGCTCTATTATTTTGAACAACTTCCTGTCGTCGAGTTGTATTATATCTCTTCAATGGTTTCTGGGTGTCCGTTCGATCCATTGTTATGAGCCCTTTTATGGTAGAGCTTCGTCTGAACCAGTGTAATATCCCAGATAGGATCGATATTGCCGGTGTGCTAGTGAGGCATGAATGAACTTGGTACTCATAGCTCCTCACAAATTTTGCAGAGACGATCGGCGGGTCTACGTCGTAAACCACATTTGTCGGACAGTATGACCTCAACCAACTCTTATCGGTATTGAATTCATCAGTACTGTGATAGTTGACATCTCAGTGGCCGTCGGGGGCTGTTGTGATGTGAGTGGAACCGGAGAGGGCTATAAGGCAAGCTGTACTGAGATACAGGAGGCGAGTGGGAGTCGAGAAAAACTGTGAATCATTCTCCTGCTAGATGTGAGGTCCTTTCTGGAAGTTCTTTCGGGACTGCCATTGTAATCACGTCGTTATGGTACTTTTTCATGTAGTATGCATTGAGTTGATGGGAGATATATCGAGCCAGCGGTGAGAGGTTTATCGTCAGCGAAATCGATGACCACGTTGGCCGCGGAGATCAGGAACAGACTGAAGGAAGATCGCAGAGAGATGGAAGCCATGCTGCTAGAAATTGACGATAAGACGAACGAAGGGGACGATGACACCGTTACGATGTTGGATCGACACTACTCGGAAGAGGCGACGAAGCTACTCCGACTGGACGTCACTCAGTAGGAGTGACACGCTCGTTTTCCCTCAGTCATATCGCCGTGATAGTCGTATGGGAGGGTCGTTGGTCATCGAGGGTCTTCCTTTTAGGGCCCTCGAGAGGCTCCTACAGAGTGTGGAAGATGCCCATAAGGATATCCTCTGTTCGATCACGACAGACAGTGACAGAGCTGAGGAAGTTACTAAGGTATCGGCTCACTTACGACAACTCGCAGTGCTTGGCCGTAACACCAGGGGCGATGATTGTTCAAATTTGCACATGCAGGGTACAATTCTCCCTAGAGGCTCATTTCGGGGATATTTTCTATTACGAGAACTTTTGCACAGTGAAGTGCTTCATAAGCGAACAGTGTTTGCCGAACACTGTTCTTGTTTTCCTCATCATTATAGCTCACATCTGCTCACGATTAAATATTTTCTGACTAGTGGGGCTCGATGGCTCATGCAGTGGAGAGAGTACTCATCACTAGACGATCAATAATCACCTGTACGAGGTCAGGATATTCGTGTTTAGGTCAAGGAGGAGCTGGCTACGGCACTTGCTGCATGCGTGGAGTTGCAGCAGTCGGAGAAAAGTAGATTCCTCGAGGCAATCGAGTCTCTCTCTGCGGAGGTGGATACACGTATAAAGAAAGAAGTAAGAATCGCTTGTTCACTTTCCATCCTGGTTATCGTTCTGGTAGCGATTTTGTACTCATTCGGGAGCTTGACGATTCGGAAAATTCTTCAGGTCGAATTGGCTGAGGCGTCGCGGGTCTGTACAGAGCGTGCTATGCTAGATGATCAGCTTGAGCTTATCCGGGATGTCAGTGATGAGTCGATCGATGCTCATAAAAAGCAGCTGATGCAGCTCGTGAAAGATATTGGTCGGTGGGATGCAAACACGTTGTTGCGGGATGGTTCATCATCTCCAGGTGCAGCTTTCAAAGGAGCGAATGCTTCTAATAGGAAGGTCGATACGGCAGTAAATGAGATCGCAAAACGGTTGGAAGAGACCTACAAGGAGCAGATTTCGGTGAGGAAGGACTCGGTGATGAGACTGCGACGCCGAATTACGCGCATGCCGTACGTGCAAGCTGCGGTGTAACTGTGGCCGAATTGTCTCGATTGCCCTTGTAATCATATAGTACTGAAGATATACAGCAAATTCGAGAAAGAAGTCATGGTGAATAGAAAGATGCCCAGACCCAGGATCGAACTGAGGACCTCCAGATCTTCAGTCTGGCGCTCTCCCAACTGAGCTATCTGGGCTATATTTTGAATATGTGTTCTCAGCAGTTGCTGGGTTTATATTCTTAACGACCTTACTTTTTAGGTTTTACGACAGGAGATGGAAGAGTACCATAAGTCAGAGATGGAAGCAGCTGCCAACGAACTACAAGACATTTTCGTAGGGAAGTCGTCGCGTCGGGCGCCTGTAAATTCCTTCTCATTCTCCCCGCGATGAATCGGCACCCTCAACGTTAACGCAGAAATCTTGCCGTTTTCCGGGAACGCCTTTACCACACCCTTGGTGCTCTCAGTCATCCGAAGTCTGTCTGTTACAAGAGCAGCTCACATATGTAATGACGGAACGTGATGAGATTCAAGCGAAGTTGCTGAATGCGCACGGAGAAACCCAAGAGAAGATTGACAATGTGAGGAGCTCTAGACTCTCTCTCTCCGCCAACCCTGTTCGAAATTTCTATGCTTTTTTACTGGCCATTCAGTTTGTAGCAGAACTCGCCAAAGCCGTTGAAACGAAGCTGAATGAGGCGATCGAAGATTTGGAGTGCAGGTACGCTCAGTTGCCGAAGTGACACACTACATCGTGATTGGCTCACTAGATTCACCCGTTTCTGTGAGTGCCAAGTGGACGAGGCGGCCGCAGCTAACGAGGCATGGGATGACGAGCGAAGGGAGTTGCTCGCGCAGGTTGGGTTCCTCATCCCTCGGCGCTTAGTACATATATCAGATACGGCATTTGAAACTCAGCATGACCACGCAAACGCCTGTCAGCAACAAGGGACAACACGTGAGTGAGACTGGGTACCATTCTCTGCTCCATTACCCGGGCCCTATAGATGCAGGAGTAATGGCTGACTACTTCTAAGATACTCTCCCAGTGTTGCTGAAGAACTCCAGCCCTTCACCACTCCAAGGCATAGAGAAACTCAAGAAGGCGATGATGAGCACCCACGAGCTGTGGAGTTCAGAAGCGTGTGCGCCTTCTCGAGACGACCTCCTTAGGGTAATCGGTCGAGAAGTATCCCATCATCCAAGACCCCAGCATTTTCTCAGATCGTCAGTGCTATTGAGAATGCTCTATTGGAAGGCAAAGACGTCGCCGACGTATACGCGAGGGAAGTGAGACCATCCGATTTGAATTATTGGTCATCCCGTTATATATTATAGGCGAAGAGGCTGATAGACCGACTGCCGATCCTCAAGCTAATCGCTCAGCGTGAATATTTGTCTTGCAAAAGAGGCCTCGCTAGCGATGGCTCGGTGGAAGATGAAGAAGACGTGGAAAAGATTGACAAAGTGGGGTGTTGGGTTCCCGTTGTGTTCATAACTATTGGAGAATCCAGGAAATCTTGAAGACCATCGACGTGTATGAGGCGAAGTACGATGAATCCTTCATAGTTGGTGATCGAGTCTATCGAGACATGCTTTCTAATTGAACGGCGTACCGGATGAGTTTCGTTCTCTAGTTTTGCCTCAAAACTGTCCAAGGTCCACTCCCTACAATCTTGAATTCGGATTTAGAAAAATACCCCCGAGCTCGCACCTCCAATGCGAACCTTTGGGTGGGAGGGAGCGGACGATAGGAAGTTGGCATTACCAAAGTCATCGACACCAAGTCGCCAGCTCGTTAATAGACGAACACTTATACCACGAATGACTAATTGATCGAGCATAGTGTAATCAGAGTAGATACTCCTCAATAAGGAAGCCGAACCATTCACTATTGCTATAACTAAACAACATTATATCCAAATGATTGAACGACGGTTATTGCGGTATAATCGTGTTGACCATGAATCCACCATGCGAGCAGTGTTTTGGAGTGCAGCAACACTGGTAGCTGCCTGCTGTTGCTTGGTTACTATAAGGCCCTTCGAGAGGCACATGGGCCCGCCTAGTCTGTGGCTGCTGATGTCGTATGGATGGACGGTGTACCTGTGGTATCACTAGCCATGCCATGGACAAGGAGGCTTTACTCCTGTAGGGGCTTCCCGATGATGTACTCGTATGGCCCGATGGAGGGCATCTCCGGTGCTCGGGGGACCTCTGGTGTGGGCCGGAGGGGTGGACCAATGGGGACACCTGAGGAAAGGTTGAAAGAAGCTAGCGGAGCGAAGCAGAGGACCACCTCGCCTCATCCACTCCATATCGAGGCTAGCAGCCGCAGTTGGGTCGGCCAAGCACGGGTGACCCCAGCAGAGCTGGTACCTGCATACAGCAATGTCATAAAGCAACGGTTGACCGGAGTGCAGTGGACTTGTCGAAATCGATGTCTCCTCCTGCTGGATTCTCATACCGTAACTATACAAGATCGTGATGGATCATCATCCTCATCATGATAATGGTTACGTGTTTGACCCAGGAGACCATGTCATTGGTATGTGGCACCGACGGATCAAAGAATCCGAGGTCCCCCACTGCGAAGTGGCCTATCATCGGTGTAACTCATCCCCGTCTGCAAGTACTACTACTGATGATACAACTCGAGACCAAAGCAGATGCGAAATGTAATGACATGATCGAGCATGCTCACTCCCTACGAGCGGTGGGCCTCGCGCCATGCGCCAGGCGTTCGATAAGTCGAGTCATGAGCTTCTTCAGACGACCTGATCGTGGGTCGTGTGAAGCCACCCTTCAACAGTGTGGTACTGGTATCTGCGGCGATGCGGCACTGCCCTAACCTGTAGACCTCGTCCTGGCCGGACTTGGAGAAGGCCGCTGTCTTCAGTAACTGCAACGGCGGGCAATCACAACAACAACAGCCCGGGAAAGGGGACCTGGCTGATGGCGCATTCAGTCCTCTCCTGCCAGCCTTGGGTGGGGGCCATCAGATGAGTGGCCTCGGTCTGACACACGACAACTCACATTGAGGCTAAGACCACCTGCGGCCAATACTTCCGTTGGAAGATCAAAGTCGGTGGTCGGGGCGTCAGCGGCCGTTAGGAGAGTAGTGGAGGAGAGGACACGGCGGAGGTATTGGACATCTTCGTGGCCCATGTCAAACCTGGTCGGGAAGGTCTCGGCCGGTAGTCCAGACCAGCAGACCTCCATTGCATGAGGCCAATCATGAGCTCTGTGGCAGCAGCAAGGTCACCACCAATGACGCGCAGAGCAGTGCGGGCATCCTCAATTTCGTCGAGAACTTCGATGAGGCCGCCGTATGTAACCTGACTGGAGCTCCCAGGTTCAATCCCCGGGTGCGACATCTTCGACTTCTAGAAGTTCATCGATTCCATTAAGGTCAGTCGGCTGCTTGTCCTTCAGCCTCGTCAAGAGCTGCTTCTGGTTATCCCTGTATCGGGAGGATTCCTTGTCCACAGCCAACCGAAGGCCCTGTAAGCGGACGAACATCTGCTTCGCTCCGCCGGATCTCCCCACCTGTAGATGATGCCGAATCGAGAAATGATCATCCAAGAGCGCGAAGTAATCCTGCAGTGGGAGGGAATCCTAGGTTCACGCGATGAAGATACAGAGGAGGTCCAGAATGGTCACCAAATATGTCAGCTTGAAGTCGCCATTGAAAAACTCCCTACAGCGTTTATCGAGCTCGGCCAGACCGACCCACAGCGGACCAAAGTCGGACGACTGGACGCAGAATCTGCTGCTGGTCTTCGACTGCAGAATGGTCACATCCTTCCCACAGGTTAGCCGCATCGAGAGGGCATTCCGGACGGTGCCTTCAGGGCCAACCTGAGAGTGGTCCTGTCTCCTGAGACCTCCTACACATGGCCCTACCAGGGACCCCTCGAGGAAGTCCTGGAAGATGTCTGCCAAAGTAGGGGGGATAGCACTGGCGCCGATAGCAACTTTGAAACTGATGGGGGAGCAGGGTAAGAGGAGAAGGCCAACACTCCCTGGAGCGGTACTTGGCCTCCTTCGTAGGTGGTATCAGACGAGCTACGAAACACAATGGCAACTCAAAGACCCTCGTGGTAAATTGGAGGATATCTGAGGTCGAACCATGCTGGATGCAGAACAGGTCCCAAACCTACCGCCAAGAGTGTACACCGCGACGAGCTCCACAGAACGGTTACTGCAAAGGACATGAGCGCTGACGTAAAAGGATAGAGAAACTCGCATGGATGAGCCTCCCGCTTGGACCTGCTAGCTAGACAGGTTACTCAAGCTGCAGAGGTCGGCCCCACGTCCCCGAGTGCCATGGTCTTCGTGGTCATGGTCACTACTGCATCGGACAGGGGCTGGACAGTAAGAGTGAGCCCTCTAGCCTCCCGACCTGTGAATGGATGGTATGCAGCGGCCATGCACTCTGGCTGACCTCGAGGGTCCGTGTTGGTGATCTCGAAATCGACTGTGAGCTGCTGTGGTAGCCCATCATTCTGAGGGTGTCGATCAAAGAGGTAAGAGAAGTCGTCATGTACCATATAGAGGCCTTGCTGGTCCTGACCATCTTGGAAGACCGAAAGGTCAACGCTACTTGGGGGATCGATTGTCGGCGGTACAGAGACGCTGACGGTCACTTCACTGGAGCGGACTTGAGGGGGAGGGTCCTCATCTTCTGCTGTCTTCTGATATTGCTTTATCGTGTTCACGAGTTGCCTATGCTCAGCCTCCTGAGGGGAGGGGGGACCTTTGAGGGTCAGAAAGGGGGCCCCACCATGTGGTCATAGTCCAAGGCTCGTGTATCGGTATTGACCATGGTACTGGCTACTGGAGGGTCCGTACCAAGGTAGGATACCTAAAGACCAGCAGCCGAGTGGTCGGCACTCATCGAGGCCCACCTGTAGGAGACCGGCATCATCTAGGGAACCTGAGACAAGGGTCTTCGTGGGCATCCTCCGGATGGTCTACATATCATCCCCATGGTATCGCCGAACTCCGCTACTATGATGGCAGTGATGGGGGATGGGCCCACCAGACAGCACCAGACCAGGGCACGCTCTCTACAATGGTGGATCATGGTCACAAAACAGCTGCTGCTGCTGCTGCTGACCTTAAGACTAGTATGTGACCGGTCTGTGTGCCGATGAGGAGCTGATGGGTGGTCTCCTTATCATCTGGCAGGGGGGGGGGGCATTGACTGTGTCATTGGAGTATGCTCCCTTACTGGCTCCATGGAGGGCGGCGCAGACGTGGGCGGACGTACACGGGTATTCTAATCTTCGTTGGGACTTCACTCTCCCCTGAGGATAGTGTGCTGAAGGGGAGAGGAAGAGATCGGACCTTATAGTCGACCACAAAGAGGGTTTGGTCCCCGAGGGCCACCACATCCAACGGCCCTCGATCGAACCTAAAGATACGCATTTGCAAGGGTCTGCTGCTCCTGCTGCTGTCCTCCTCTTACCGGGCCGCGCCAAGCCAAGAGATGTGGTCCCCCAAGTTGGTCCTCCAATCGGCCGTAAGCCTCTTGCCACTCATCTGCTGCCAACAGTAAGTCCTGACGACCCTCAGGCCCCACCTGCATGTGGTCAACATTATCACCAGCGGCAGCCAGTATTGAATACCTAAGAAGCAGCTGCGGTGCTTGTGGAGGCTCCCTGAACCCACCGGTAGGATTCCATGGTCATTTCTGAGTTCACGGTGATGAATTGACCCGAAGCCATCAGGTATCTGGGCGAAATCTCTAGCGGAGCGAAGCAGAGAGATTGACACACATCAAAGGCCCGGGTAGGATGAAGGAGGACTGAGGAAGGAGTCGATGGAAGGCGAAGCTCCCATTGAGGAAGAACTGGAGTACTCCATCCAGGGATTGAACCTGGGATCTCATCGGGCGACTAGTCTCGTTAGTGATCTGACTACACATATGGACTCTAAACCCGCGGAGGTTCGATCCCCAGCGAAGGCACCACTGGTCATGTTATAAGCTGGCCTAGCTAACTTGTGTATGGCAACCTGTAGTGGAATGAGATTCCTATAACTGCTGCAGTAGCGACCTGCTGAATGTTGAAATAGGCCGCCACTCCGCCTGCCTTCACTGCGGACACCGCATATCTAATGGGAAATGTGGTGCATGATAGCGACTAGGGGAAGGGTACACGCCGAGGGAATAGGGATGGAGAATAGCAAGGAAGATATCCGAGGTGCCACTGATGAACCTGATAGGCTCAGTAGGAGCAGACAGTACTGATGGCCCTCACCGGCCGGCGAGTAGCTGTAGTATGGGCCCGTCGAGCTTCTTCTCTAGTACGAGATCCTCGAGGGTGTGCCCACCAGCAGGGCCGCCTCTTGGGAGGAAGATCCGTATCATACCCGAGAGGCTGCCGACTAGGACTTTCATCTGATCGCATCGCGAAGGATAATTTCATGGCGCGTGACGGCAGCAACTTGACCTTCCCTGCGGGGTCGTTGTCAATATTGGCAACCACCACAGTGCCGGCCGTACCATCGATCTCCTCTGGCGTCCCTGAACCCACCTCTCAAAGGGCTTAGCATGTCCGTCCGTACCGTCAGTGGTGGTAATACGATAGGACCACCACTCCTTCGCCCGAAACAACGACATCGATAACAACACAGGAAGGTCAACATTGACAAGAATAACACAACCCTCAAGGGAGATAATGTGAAATAGGAGCATGCCTATTCTCGTCGAGGAGCGATGTGGACTGCCGATTGACGGACCTTTGACAGCTCCCTACAGTTAGGAGTGGCCGAGACAATAGCAGTACTAGTAGACTCACCCCTTGCGGAAGAGCTCGTACTCCGCAGCCACCATAACTCCTTGATGGAACACTGAACACGGAGTACACTAGAGCTGTCGATTGCCGACTTACTCTCTCGTTCGCTCCTCGTCATGAAGTCCATGAGAACCTAACACGAATTGCCGGAGGAGTGGTAATAGCAACAGCAGCAGCAGCAATGGTCCGAACCTGCATCTTCTTCTCCTGGTCAGCCCCCACAATTTGGGTCTGGGCGACATCGAAGATATTCCTCGCTCGTTCGAACATCCCCTTCAGGAGTCTTTCCATCAGTGAGTGTAACTACACTCAAGAGTGGCGCCCCTCAGCCCTGACGGTCTACCCCGAGGAGAGCCGCCAACCGCATGCCAATTTCGAAGTAGTAGAAGCTCTTCTGGTCTAGCCGCATGACTCTGAATAGGGAAGGCCTGTGGTCATCAACACAGGAGAGGTTGGGCCTACGATGCTTCCAAAGTCATCAAGCCCTGCATCTTCGCATTGAATATCGATGGGACTTCTTCGATCTGACGTATGACTATGAGTTGTAGGGCCAGGTGGGGCCGGCCCACCTCCACGAAGCGACGTAGATAGAGGCCCTCGGCAATCCACATTGGAAGGGATAGTTTGCAGTCAGCTGGCAACTACAGAAGCCTCACAGATTGCCAATAACACAAATCCTACATGGTTGCCATCGGCGGCCCCTGACTGACCCGTCGATGCCCTGTCATTATTCTCAGCCTGGCTCTGATGACTGCACGTATCATCATCCACAGTAGAGCCCTTACCATATTCTCGTCATCTCCCTCTGATTGCTGTTGTTGTTGCTGTTGATAGGAATGGACCTCAGCCGCCTGACTATTCATCCAGCCCAACCCGTAGGCAGTGTCGATAAGTCGGCAGTCGATCAGCTGCTCATCCTACGACTATCGATGGCCAACAGCACTGACCCTCTCCCTCCCAGGCCCACCTGCAGTATCTGGTCCAGGTCCCAGTAGTCCTTCCTGCTGTACTTGCCGCCTCCAGCAGCAGCAGAGCTCTGTGTGCCCGAGACGGAGGAGTAGTTGGGGTCCTCCGAGAAGACGTCTTGAGAGGTTGAATACGACATAGTGACTTCAACCACCTCCAACACTTCCGCATCAAACTGATCAAATCAACACTTTCCGTCCTCAGAAACATCATGGCAATTACATTCATCAATGATGATACACTATTCCTCTTCCCCCACAGGCCGCCGCCGCGGTCGACCCGAGGCCCCGCCTTGTGACCGTAATAGCTCCTCTTCTTGAACCTGTCGAAGTACCCATTGCTACCTCCACAGGACCGGTCATCCCCTACGCTTCGGATCGCCCTCTGCCGCGCCTCGACTTCATCAGTAAAGTCTGGTTGCTGCAGCGATGGTTGCATGATCGCGTGTACTACTATCGAGCCTGATCACACGCTGAAGGTCGGCGTTTTTAGAGGTACTTTTACTACCCATAAGAAGACTACTGAACGCCATCGACGTGCTCACTACAAACTGCTTTATCGTGATACCATAGGGCATTGTAAAAGTGACCTCATTGGTAAGGGTCTTAAACCAACACAACACGACAAATGCTATTACTAGAAACCAAAAAGGAACAACAACAAGAATTTGTATTGTTTGCCCATGTGCCCCTAGTGTAGTGTTTGGTAGAGGACCACCTTCATATAGTAATGTCTGCACTTACAGGATCGCAGAAAGCCATGTGGTTGGCGAGGAAGCGCGACTCAGACTGATGACCTGGTTTCGAAGGCAAAAAACCTACAGTAATTTCGATAGCGCTTGATGGAAAGTCGAGAGATTTATGAGGATAATCAGTGATGAGAGGAAGCCTATCCGGAGGGAACCCCCTCCCAGACCCCTGCCCCTGGTTTCAATCTCTGTGTCCTTCAAAGAGCAGCCTCTCATCATAACGACAGACTCACTCAAGCAAAAGATCGATATCGATGCATGACGAGCTTCGGCCCGACCGATACCCTACACAAGGGCACATAGTGACGGTCCACCCGTGATGATGATGACGATGATGAGCCGTGGAAGCTCTTATGAAAACGGTTCGTAACCCCTTGTAATTCCCATCGAGTGCTTTCGAAATTCACCACCACAGGTTGCCATGCTAACTCTCAATTCCACAGCAACCTTATAACCAACACATTCCAACGCTCATCACGAGCCTGCCCCTCCACCACCGTCTTTGTCTCTCCATCAGAGACATCAGAGTATCGCCTATGGACTGCCGGATTGTTCTTCAAAATCACTAGCAAGAACTACGGCTGAGCTACTCGGCTACCACATGTTGACGAATTAAAACGTACGATCCAACCTCAGGATGCCTAGGAGACATTCCCGTCATCAATGATTTCAACACAGGAGGGCAGTCTGAACAGTGAATTCTCAATCATGCATAATTTGATCTCCGCCCCGCCCCAGTAGTAGCTCAGTGAGTACTAAAGTCATTAGTAGTGAGCCCGAGCAGCATTGGCCAGCAACGAGCTGACAGACTACTTCAGAAAAAAAGGAACGTTTGGTCATCATTGCCAATGGAGACTAAAACTTATCACCCTTGTCTCTAGACTATGCACAGCGCAACACAAGCTTCACAAAAGTGTCCTTCCATATCACAACGCTGATCGACCTTTCGTATTCCGACGCCCTAGCGTACGGATGTAATAACAAGTGAGTATGGGCATATTAGTGACCACCGTGATGACCCTTGTAATAAGCTTCCCGACGGCGGGCGAATCTGAGATTGAATAGTGAGTGCCACGGACAAGGTCCGACAGCCTTACTCCTCGTTCATAGCCTCAACATTGAGCGTCTTGAGCCATCTCTGTTCGGCCTCATTGTTCCACTTGACCATAGCATAACCTGGGGTGTTGGCTGGTATCTCACCCTGAAGGGGAGAAGGAGGAGTTGGAGGAGCTGGACGACGGAGATGAAAAGCTCACATTTTTTATCTGGTTCTGCTTCTCGAGCCACCAAGACCACATCCAGTTGGGATTACGATGGCGTGGTATCTAGAGGTTGAGCAAGCAAGATACGAAATAGGTCCTCGTCGATCCATTGAATACACCGTATTGACAGGCAGCAGCATATTCGGCAATCCAGATAACAGCGAGTGAGCCGAAAAGGTAACGTGTGAAGTAATTGCCGTGGAGAAGGCGCCTGCCACCCATTACAAATCCAATACCACTGCTGCTGACTAACTCAAGCAAGAAACACATCGTCCGACGTTTCAGAATTTCTCGCTCGCCACGAAGTTTCCTGTTCACGCGTTCAGTATGATACCTTCCCTCCAAAAGTGACCATATGTTAACCGATACCTTGGTCATTGGCACTCTTACATGATTCCTTATACGCGCTCGAATATGGATTCACCTACTACGTACGGTGAACGTTTACCTTCTTGAGCGATGGCCATATCACGTTGATGTACGACGATACGCTAGAGTGATTGATGCGGTTGAGAGGCTAGGGAAGTGGTACGGCTTGTAGCCTAGTAGCGACAAGCCCACATCTCGCGAGAAGACACGGCGCTCGGACGTATTTCGCCGAATAGGACGGATTATGATAATTTGGTATAGTGAAATTATTAGTACGAGAAGACATCCCAGCACTATTAACACAACAGGGGTTACAGAGAAGCTCCTGTATCGTCTCGGGGGCCATTTAGGCCCTGTCCATGACGACTCAGGATCATTAGGAGATTCGAGGGTTATTCATATAGTGAGATTAAGAATATCTGATATCTATATAAATCTACAAGTAGTTCGACGGGAAAGAACAATGGGAAATGCGCGAGGCTCCCATGTGGCACGCATATAGCCTGATCGAGCGAACGCTGTGAGGCCACCATCTAAGCAGCCGAACAAACGAGAGGAGCTCGTTCACCACGGCAGCGAGACCTTTCCGAGATTCAGGACGACGGAATCAGGAGCAAATGACTATAACAGAACGTGCACTACTGAGCGACTTCGAAGTGTGAAGTCCAGAACGCCAGCAGGCAACTAGTAGACGACGATAGACATACTCGACAGAGATACCCCCTCTAGAAATAACTCTACGCACTCTTGCGGTTGGTTCTAGCTCCCACAGGACAACCGAGAGCGCTTGCAATAGCGTGCTTGCTGGGGGTAAAGGCATTCACTTTACTGGCGTAATCTTCATATGCCTTACCGAACTCCCCAGCTGGTCCTCTGAGACCGCCCTCCTCAAACAACAGCGTCGCCGGGATGATATAGATCGTCCAGAGAGCGGCTAGTTGGAGATGGCTCGGAGTGTATGCCGGGAGCACCCAGTACATCCATAGGAAGGACGAAGCCGCTGGATGGCGGACCAGATTGTAGGGGAATGCGGTGAACAGCTCATGCGGCTGTTCCTCACCTTCATGGTATTTGTAGCGGCTTGTCCCGAAGACATGATCCGGGAGGACGTAGAAAAGACCAAGTAGGTATAGGTTGGCCAGAATAAATATCCCACCAGACACGAGACATTGGATGAGACCAACTTGTGTGATATCGAATCGAGTACAGTCGGTAATAGGCGTCCAACCGTAGATGCTGAGGAACCACGTTATCGGGCTCATGAAAGCGAACACAGGCCGCTCGTAAGCCTTGTTCTCCAAGCCTAGGAATCTCTTCACTGCAGTTCTTGCGAGCAGAGAATGGGGAGCGGAGAATATCAGAAATGATCCGATGTTCGAGACGAAAGCCTTCCGATCAAAATGTGTACATTCCTCATACGGTAGGACTGCCCTCGCATCCATAGTGTTCCCTCCGATACCAAATGGGTCGTTGAAGATAAAATTCAACCAATAAAGGTAAACGAAGTGAACGCTGATGAATGCCCATCGCGATAAGAGGTAAGCGACGACTTGGGATGCCATTCAAGGGTTTTCACCGTAACAACTGCTTCAGGAACCATCCGAGCGGTTTGTGAACTTTTCGCACGCAAGAGCACAGTGCGAAAAAGTCGAATACAAGTAGTTGTGCATGCGTGCAAGACTCGAGTAAATAGAGTAAAACGGTCAGGTTTCGGCGCAGCAATGTATCTGCATACACATTATGTTGATAGATCACTTCCAGTTAGCTATTCTTATAACTTGTCTTCGCTGAACATATCGTCAGGTCCTTCTATCGCAGTCGCACTACAACTCCCTCAACAATCACTGACTCACCGAAAGCTAGAAGGGGAGTTACATTTCTGCGGCTCCGACCACTTCTACTGATCAGTTCAAATACTACTACTCGTCCCAGAGGTTGCAGCGAGATGAGGTTCTCCTCTTTTTCATTCTTCCACCACACTGGAACACGACAGAGAGCTTGGGTCAGCGCACAGGCTGAAACCTAAGTGCCTCAGCAGAAGCACCCTCAGATCATGCAATAAGGCCTCGAACAGCAGCGGCAGTGATAAACACCTAGTAAGGAAGGGCCTTATGAAAATGCAACAACATTCACACCTTGAACGAATGAGGACCTCGAACAGCTTCGACTTGAACAGCGTGGGCACGGATGACCCTCGTACGCTTGCAGCACAGGAGGAATGAATTGCTCATCACCAACAATAATATCAGACCACTGAGAACCCAAAGGGCAATGAGCGTGACCAAACTCCATTGGTCCAGAGTGTCAAATATGACAGTGTCGCTGACACACCATGCACTCGCAGCATCAGCACTTGCATGAGGGGCGCTCTCGCGAATACAACTAGTAAGGATATCCGCATTGAGTCCTCTCGTGCCGCGACGGAGCCAGCTTGCGAAGACATCACCAACCTTAGTCACAGTACAACTGATCTCGGTGCACACCAGAGTGCCACTTTCGAATGCACACGAGCCACCGTTGCATTGAGCTCGCTCATAGAGACCAAGGTAGAATGATCGTACGAAGCGGTAGGCAGTTGCCTCCTGACCAGTCACATCGAGTAGTTGTTGACTATTAGAGCTACTGAGAGAATCGATAGCCCTACTATAGACGGTAACCACGATGGACACTATGAGGACTACAGCCAGGATGAAGCCGGCAGAAGTTAAGTAGCATAGGAAAAGACATCGGTTGTATTTGTATGTAGCTGAGCACCCGATGAAGCCGACAATGAGCAGCCCTACTCCAACGAAGAGTGAGACCCATAGGGTCCACACGTGGAGCAGTTGACCATCATAGGTAACGAATAGGTACACAGAGGCAGCCACAAGCGAACCACCCAGTATAAAGATGATAGTTAAGACCAGGTAGTTGAGGAGATCCGAGGACGCTTTGCAGCAGCTGGCCATTGAATCTGAAAAGGAGCACCTGGCCAACGATCCCTCGAACACTCAATATTAACCAACTCGGCACTTAACCCTGCCGCTACGTGATCACTACAGCTTTATGCCGGCTGTACTACTACTACGTTGGTTTAACCGATTCTATTGGAGATGAATAACACAAGAATAATTTTCAGTGTTTTCCTGAGAGATATCGGTGATGAGTTACGCTAGACACATTCACATGGTTGCAGTCTTTGAAAACCTATGAGTAACGGAAGAACCTTCGCTGTGACCGATACTTCGGACCATGTGCGCTCTCCATTAAATCATCTCCATGAAAACAGTAGTCAGAGAAGTCGGCGCCACCAGGATGATGAGAAGACCCGTCAGCTCGAGGATGCCAGGAGACCCAAACCGCGTACAGCGGAACGCTGACACGTCAGCATCACAAATAGCTGAAGCATGCAGCGGCGGCAGCTCATCGAAGTCACATAATCAGGAGCAATGCATCGACGTCGCCATGCTAGGTTCTCTGAGCCTGGTGGACTCTATCTCCCCAGAGTGTTGTTTCCTTGACCCACTCGCTCCCCCAGGATAGGGATGAAGAGCCTTCGTCTTCTACGGCGTTCACATCCCTCAGTCTACGTAGCTCGTTTGCTTGCATCGCTTCCCCGTCAACTGGGAGCAGTAGTGACGTGACCTCGCCATTGTGGCCAAGGTATGAGGGCTGATACCATAAAATCGTTACAGTGACAACACGATACAGTAGAGAGCACGCAGATGGAAACGAAGGGCGCAGCTTCAAATAGGAGACTGGTATCATCAAACAGTAATCCCTACCCTTGAAGTAATCAGGGCTAATGGTATAGTGGGCGCATAGGGTCGACGACCATGTCCCTCAAGGCGTCTTGGAAGTGCCTCAGCCAGCTGGCGAGGTCCTCTCGAGTGTAGTCGGGCTGACGGCACTTGAATCTCAGAGCCCAGGAATATCGACTTGTCTGGTCGCAAGCAATATCCATCGCCCTCGTTGCAGAAACAGAACTCCCTTGAGGGAGCGGTATGATATTCAAGTTCTGCTCGAACCGTCCAGAGGTGTCCGTCTCCGAAGGGAACTGTGCCGGTAGGAGGTTCACCAGGAGCCGCTCACAGCTACTCAGAGGAGTCGGGATGGTCCATCGACGGAACTTGATAATGTGCCGTAATGTTAGGACCTAAGGATGCACATTAAAGCTCCAAACCAATGCTAACAGCCGTACCAAATTGAGGACGCTGGTCGCACAGGGTTGCCCGTTGTCTTCGGGGACGTCCTCCAATGGTATGTCGATATTCCTAAGATCAGCGAATAGGCCCACCAGCTGGTGTTCAGTGGGTCCATCCCTCAGAGGTACCACAAGAGTCGCCTTGGCTACTCTGCGCCATCCCCTCTCCCTCACAGACGCCAGGACAATAGCCGCCAGGAGTACCACGTCCAGAGGGGCTCCTAGTCTACGACCAACACTGTGGAGTACCAGATGAATAGAAGGTAGAAGCTTCACACAGTGACCAAACCCTTGCTGAGGCACCGTAGTGTGGTCTACGGTATAGCAAGGGTACAGGGTGTCACCATGAAGATCTCGTGCTCTGTCCATTAGAGTTCGCCTCAGCCGTCCGCTTTGGACCTGAGCTCCTGAAACCCGTAGGGGTGGTAGTAGGCGATTCCGCGGGCCCCTATGAGAGCCTCTTCTCACCGCCGCATAAGCCTCGTTGAGGTCACTGAGCAGAGGGACCACACTGAAGCCATCAGAAGAGGCATGTGTGACGAAGACTCGAACGAAAGTCCGCGCTGGTCCACAACCATCGAGACTCTCATCGAGCTGTACGATATCCATTCCCAAAGGGGACCGGAACCCGTGCCTCTTCTCGGAGTGGACCCAGCGTCTCAGAGCCTCTCGAGAGTTGAACTCCCTCACTCTCACCGAACCAGGGCGCCCCTCTACTGAAGGGGTGATATGTTTACGACCCCACAGCGGCCAGAGTACCCAACGACCCACTGCATACGCGATAGCAGCTATCCAAGAGAGAAAGCGACCGCCTTTGGTGAGGGCCATGTACTTGACCATACCTTGGACTGACAGACCCTCGTTCATGAAGGTGTAGTAGCCGATACCAACATCGTTAGTAACCCTCATAGAGGCCTGTCGAGAGACCACCGCTTGGACCGCTGCCTGTAGGGCGAACAGGTCCACCTCCTCTTCTTCTTCCTCCTCGCTGCCGCGGCCGTTACAATATCCAGCATAAAGGTAGCACTGTCACAAAGGGCATATAGTTCTCGTCGATTTATATGCCAATGTAGCTCAGATCTCTTCCATAACCGCGCTCGTTGATAACCAAATTGAGGAGAGTTATTCTCAGTAATAGACCATCCGTAGCCAAACTGACTCGCATCAGAGGTAATATTAAACTGTAGTTCCTCACTATAAACAGGATCATGATGGCAACTTCCTTGAAGTAGATCGGCTATAAGATCACAACATGACGAGACAGCAGAATTCTTTGCATCGGTCAGGGAAATAGTACTGTCCCAATCAAGAGGAGAGCGACCTCCGATTATACGTAGTGCATCACCAAAGAATGCCAGGAGGGCGTGGGAATAGAACATGTCCAATGTAAGACCTGCAATGGCAAACAATTTCCTCTTAGTTAAATTGTTGCTACTCGGATGTAGATTAGACAACTTTTGTAGATAGCCTTCACGATTACATACAAGCTTCAAGTAACTATCTTCAAAGAGCCACCACACGCCTAAATGCTTGAAAGGTTCAAGTGCAGGGAGATCAATACAAAGTACATTCGATTTATCTTCAGCGAACTGAAAACCGAACATCAATGCTATCTCTTTAAACACACGTTCAGCTTCAATAACATCGGCATGTTTTCCATAAAACGTGATGTCGTCAAGGTAGATCTCACAACCATGACATAATACTGAATTCGCAGGGCAACTTAGTCGGGCCAATGCAAGGATCGTCTGCATACAATGCTCCAGGCCCGAGGGCCCACAAGCCAGGCCAAATATCATTCGAGTAGTAACAAATTCCTTCGAGTTCGTAACAACCCGGATAGGAACAAGTAGTCTTACTTTATAGAAGGCCTTCTTCACATCTCGGGTATGCACGCAGAAACCTTCACGCCAGCCAATCATAATATGCTGGAGGATAGAGGATATACAACCACCACGATAAGAAGCCTAAGTGCCTCAGCAGAAGCACCCTCAGATCATGCAATAAGGCCTCGAACAGCAGCGGCAGTGATAAACACCTAGTAAGGAAGGGCCTTATGAAAATGCAACATTCACACCTTGAACGAATGAGGACCTCGAACAGCTTCGACTTGAACAGCGTGGGCACGGATGACCCTCGTACGCTTGCAGCACAGGAGTGTGGGATTAGCGGGAGCCCCTCGTTGACTAACACTACTCGGAAGTGCCATTTGGACTCAAAAGAAGAACTACTCAGTCTCATGATCTCTTATATAAACTTAACCCAGGGTTAAGTTTAAGGATGAGGGTTAATAACCCTCATCCTAAGAACTTGAATCGTCGTAAAAAGGGGCCATCCGGCCATAGCGAGATCGATCTGATGAGCATGAGTACGCGTGCACAAGCACGCATGCGCGACGAAGAAGAAGCCGCTATACAATGGAGCTGGCGTGGTCTGCTGTGATCGACCATCCTTTACTTTGCAAGGAGGAATGAATTGCTCATCACCAACAATAATATCAGACCACTGAGAACCCAAAGGGCAATGAGCGTGACCAAACTCCATTGGTCCAGAGTGTCAAATATGACAGTGTCGCTGACACACCATGCACTCGCAGCATCAGCACTTGCATGAGGGGCGCTCTCGCGAATACAACTAGTAAGGATATCCGCATTGAGTCCTCTCGTGCCGCGACGGAGCCAGCTTGCGAAGACATCACCAACCTTAGTCACAGTACAACTGATCTCGGTGCACACCAGAGTGCCACTTTCGAATGCACACGAGCCACCGTTGCATTGAGCTTGCTCATAGAGACCAAGGTAGAATGATCGCACGAAGCGGTAGGCAGTTGCCTCCTGACCAGTCACATCGAGTAGTTGTTGACTATTAGAGCTACTGAGAGAATCGATAGCCCTACCATAGACGGTAACTACGATGGAGACTATGAGGACTACAGCCAGGATGAAGCCGGCAGAAGTTAAGTAGCATAGGAAAAGACATCGGTTGTATTTGTATGTAGCTGAGCACCCGATGAAGCCGACAATAAGCAGTCCCACTCCAACGAAGAGTGAGACCCATAGGGGCCACACGTGGAGCAGTTGACCGCCATAGGTAACGAATAGGTACACAGAGGCAGCCACAAGCAAACCACCCAGTATAAAGATGATAGTTAGGACCAGGTAGTTGAGGAGATCCGAGGACGCTTTGCAGCAGCTGGCCATTGAGTCTGAAAAGGAGCACCTGGGCCAACGACCCCTCGAACACTCAATATTAACCAATTCAGCACTTAACCCTGCCGCTACGTGATCACTACAGCT